TTCTCTTGAATTATCGCGTTGTTTCACACACATTTAGTTATCAGACATGTAAATTTGATAAAAAACAACTATGAAATGATCGTTAAGTAATTGTGTAATAGGGATTATGAAATGGGGTAACATGCCAAAACTAAGATACTTACTTTTGAACAAACGTACAGCTCGCACCAAAGAGATAGATCTATTAAAAATAAGGACGAAATCTGTTGGGATCAATGAAGCGACATCCAAGTAAATTCGATAGCTGAAAAAAAATCATGTACTTCACATCATTGCGATTACTGTACGTATACTCCTTATCCCTGAGACGGAGTAGGCGTGGCTTTTGAGCATGGCATAGGACGGGTTACTCGTGGGATACTTCAATTTGAAACAACTGCCATCTTGTTCTGTGTTAGATGTAGACATGATTACGACTGCTCCAAAATGAAAATATCTCACGAAAACCTGGGCCGCCGCCATTTTAAAATTAAGTACGCAGCCACGCCTACCCGATCTCAGGGATTTCGAGTATATCACTGTACCTTAGTACACCTATAGGTGTATTTAATGGTCGCGACTATGTCGGCAAAGTCTCACGGTTTTGGAGGAGATGGAGGTTCGAGTTTTAACCAAGAATTCTCCTCAGGCTCACGCTATGACGAGAAGGGATTTTCACAATTTCTAGTTCGTACCCTAATTTCTCTTCAAAGAAGAGGATTGTTGAAAAGAAAACAGGGGATGGTATGAAGCAGGAAGTACGTAAAGCAGGTGGAAAAGCTAGAAACAAGTACACATGAGGCTGCCTGAAAACCAGTGGTGGTCTGAGGCCCTCATTTGCGTCGACGTCATGGAACAACCTTCCACATGGGCTTCCGCTGGGACCAGATTAGTTGCGGTCAAAAGAAAAAGCCTGCATCAGATATTCTGAATTGTGGGGCTCAAATAGGAATGCCAAGATATAAAGAAAGTCAGTGATGTAGACGAAAACAAAGAGAAATTATTGCAAAACTCTCATATATGACCCTCTACCAAGCGCACTCAAACGAGCCGAAGGCGAGCAAAAGGTGTGGTCGGATGAGATCACTGGACGTGCTAGGGTCGATATAATCTCTACAATTGATCCGAGGAGATTTCCTTATCGACTATGCCCCTGCTTAGGTACTTTGGCGGGTCTAGTTATCATAGCAGGGTAGAGCGATGGGCGGAGCCACTGAAGGTAGGTCGGGGCAACGAGAGGAACGGCGGCATTGGTTCGCTCGTCACTAGCTTTTTTCAGCAGAAGTGGTCCAGCAGCTGCCATTGCGGACTAAGCTGTTTGCTCCGCGAATTGAATCGACTAACCTTTTATAGTAGTGTTTTGAAGTCATCTTAACATTTTTCACTTCGCTTCCATCAAAAGTGTAAGCTGAAATCAAGGTTTATTGGAGTAAGTTAATGATAATGTCCTATCATCACGAAAGCAAAACTTACTTGTCCTAGACTGTACAAGAATATCGAGCAGAAATACGCAATCAAAAAATATGTTCAGATAGAGCCAATGAAAAAAATATCCGAGAAATACGTCATCGAATATAAAAATCACCATAGCCATCATGTTATACAGTAATCCGATCGATACAAAACAGGTCCAGTAATAGTAAAAATAGCCGCCTGGTGACACATAAAACCATATCAGCCGCCTGAATTGTGACAATTGAGAAGTTTGCAAGCCGAGGCTCCCGAGTGCACAAAAACAAATAAAAAATATAAAGTAAACCGAACTGAATTTAAAATATGTAAGTGAAAATTCCCGAGTCCATCATAAGAACTTTATTTCATGCATCATGGGGACATTGCATACATATAAAGATAGAGCTCTACCCCGTTTCTCTCCTCCGTAGTCCTTAACCCTTACAGTAGCTTGGTCCGCTGTTCCTTATCCCATACAAATCAGTTCTTGCCAATGATTCAAGCATGGTTCCAATAGATGATTCCCTCCATTCCTTCTGAATTTTTTCCAGTAGCCACTTGACCTAATCTTCAAAGATCAGCGCCTTTCGCAGTCGATGATACTGTAGCCTTCCCAGCACGCTGCCGCTGCCCTCTAGCTCGCAGTTGAACAGGAGTCGGATGTTCTCGCGGACGTTCTCGCGTCTGCTACCAGTTGAATCGCGTTCGTCCTCACACAAAATCTTAACATTTTGCTCTAACGGACTTAGAACTTTTACCTACGTTATCTGAGAGCTGATCCCTGGGTAGCTGATTAGACCTTCTTCTTCAAAGCCAGGCAAGATCCTACTCTGTTTACTTCACATATCCGATACATACAAAGTGGGAGCGTGTTCAGAGATCGTTTCGCTTCTCTCGAGCGCATGCAGATCACTAGTCAGTGTAGGAAGTCTGACGCTTTTGGCAGAAAACAGCAAAAACGAGGTATTTGGAGTTGAATTTGCACAACAATGCGTCCCTGCCAAACAGCCTTCTGCGAGGTCGAAACCAAGTTTGCCCTCACCTCAGTGATTAGCCATCCATAAAGCCTAATTGTATGAGCAATAAACCCGATCTCGCGGTAGCTGGAGCCCTTCGTAGCGTCTCCCTCTATTACTCCGACTAACAAAGACAATAGGCTGCTTCTTCACACTTGTGTTAAATTCTTCAACAGATAGTTACTTTTAGTTAAGAACTTTCAGGATCCAGAACGGAACCGAGTCATAATCTTGTTCATGCTAGTCTAAGGTGAGATTTGCTGTCAAACCTTCCCAGAATTTGCTCACAACAAAATTTCCCTTGATAAGGTCATCCTTGTGTAGTATACTTAATGCTAGCCCAAATTATTCCTATCGCTCACCGAATGCTGACCTCTTGAGGAAATGGAATCGTGAGCCAGCAACACGGACCGCCGAATCACTTACACCCAAATGTTCACACAGCCAACTTCAGAGCAGCTTGCCACAAAGTAATGTTTCAAAACAAACCTACAGCTGTAGAAAAACCTTGTTTGTAATGATCGTAAGATGCTCTGAATTCCGCTGTCCCAAATCGAAGATCAAAGGTGTTTCTCGCTCGCTAGTTGTTTCACAAGACGACCACGTTCAGCAGCTGACGGACCGCAACAGTTCTTACAAGCACTCCCTCATGCATAGGGCTCAGAAACGTGAGAGCGAGTACTCAAGAACAGGCATTAGCCTGAGCACAGAAGGCTTCTCCTCCCTGCTTTGGCCTTCGATCCAAGTCGAGAAACCCCACCCAAAAGCAAATCCCGCTCTATTTCTTGGACACCTGGTATCTGCCCGCTCGTTTTGCTTAACCTGGCTACCGCTCACTACAGATAATGAGCAGGAAAAAAAATTGGCACTAGACTGCAAAACAAAAAACTTGCCGAAATTTCAGAAGAAGAGGAATTATGCAGATGTTTTAAAACCATAAAAGGTAAAGGTACCTGCTCCACTCTGCTGCCTTTGCCTTCAAGATGTCGAAACCTGAAGTTTCTTCCTCGAAAACATCTTCGTTCTCAGTAAGTATCGGTACATTTTCTGCAGGAGCTGCCTGAAGAAAGAACGCGAGAAATTGTTGCTGAAGAATGTAGCATGGAGGTACTATTCCAATGAGACAGTTTTCTGTAAAATGCGATGCACTGCCGCCATCCCTGCGAATCGGAACCCAAACTGGCATGGAACGGATTTCTGGGACGGCGAGTGCATTTTTCGCAACCTGATGCCAATCCTGAGGACGACACCACGACAAATAAGATTAATGAGAAAGGATACCCTTTGTGCGCTCAAGTTACTCACCTTTCACGCGGCCTCTCGTTTGCAGTGATCATGACCTGTGTGCCTAGGCTGAAGCCCTTCTAACACGGTGGTGGATGGCCCCAGACTCCTTCGCTTCCGTACCCATTCCCTCCAGAACTATCGAGAAATATAATATAAGCAGTATAGTATTTTTTTTCATCTCAATAGCGTGGCGTAAGGGCAAATAACGGAGCTAACAATTGGTGGAACGGGGAAACACTATACACTCACTGTCAAAGTTGACGTCGCGTGGTCAGAAACCCCTGGTACGTTCCTCTTTGGGCATGGGCAAACCTCCCGTAGGTGTCTGCATAGCAACGACTCGACTCAAAGGGGCACAGATTCCCGAAAACTGTCGCTTCAGTGAGGCAAGACAACAGCTTTTCAGCTTATGGGCTTCGCTATGGCTCTCACAGATTGTTCCTTGGCAATTAGGAGCGGATAGTGGGCACATTTGAACAAGGACCCCACCGCCGCGCCGACAAACAATGCAGTTTCTTTTGCGAACTAGGGCACTCTGACAAACGGTCTGTCAAGTCTCATCTTACCAGGGAATTCGGCCAAGTTACCATGGAATTTTGAATGGAGACCTGATAGAGTCTATAAGGTTATTTACAAATATAGATAGCAAAACTGCAACCTGCATTTCACAAGCAACTTATGAGCAGGTAAAGTTTGTAATGGTGCAGTAGGGTGGAGGCTTGGTGGTGAGCTGTGAAGCATAAGCGAGGAATCGCATACGTCGAATCGAGTCGTCGAACGTCGAACTTTACCACTAAATCACCACGTCCTCGCTTATGCTTCACAGCTCACCACCAAGCCTCCACCCTACTGCACCATTACAAACTTTACCTGCTCATAAGTTGCTTGTGAAATGCAGGTTGCAGTTTTGCTATCTCTGTTTGTAAAAACCTTATAGACTCTATCGATCTAACCAGGTCTCCATTCAAAATTCTATGGTACCCGCTACTATGGTGGCGGACTCCATCTGCGAGTTAGTAGCTGCTTTAATTTTTTAAAAAACGTTGTCGATTTCTTTGTCGATTGAACACCATTTTAGTTAATCCTCCTGATCCGATCTGAATGGATTGCTGCTCGATCGTCTGAAGAAGAAACTTGAACTCACCGGCTCGAAAACCAGTGACGAATGGATGTCTGCCGCGCGATCCTGTTCCTCATTTGCCGACATCATCCAGTTTCTAACGATCTGAAAATGAACTTCTTGCTGTTGCCGTAGCTCACTAAAGCCTTAGGCCAAATAGCCAAGAAAGAAAAGTGATAAGACTTTGATCTAGTGCAGAGTAAATGAGTCACAAGAGTGAATGAGTCACTTCACTGGTCGCTGAGGACCTGTTTACCCTACATTTGAAGAGAAGTCGTTAATGTCACATGTAGTGTAGACCGAGAACGAGATCGAGGGGTACACAGAAGCTTCAATACACACAGCGTTGGTTGCTCAGCGAGCACCTTTTTTATTTTATTGGATCTATTTATCCATGCTGAGGAAATCCAGCGAAAGCTGCCAGCAACCTCTTGTGAAACCTCCATAATGGTTCATCGAGGAAAGTAAAAGGTAGTGATGACAGTCGGAGAGCATATGATTGAATTTCCCTAACTACTTCGATTAATTAGAGCCTGCTCACTGAAAGGAGAAACTTCAGTTCAGCTAAAGGCAAGGAAAGGACGTGAGCGATGGAAGTAAGAAGGACTTAGTGGAAAGAGATTAGCTGTAGCATTTTTGCGGTGGGCGTGGTGTTCCGAATCCCTGTAATCGAGGCATACGAAACGGCTCTGAAAGAGCTGTGCAATAACTTCAGTGCTCCAGTCAACTGTTTTTTTTATTTCATACAAAAAGCTGATAAGTGCTTAGACGATAACAAACAGAACCGCACTCAATCGAGTCTCGTTATCCCTTTGTTATCCAAAGGCAGGGTGAACAACAGGCCAATAGCTCGAATCCTCTAGAAGAAAAAATTTTGCATTCCTCCAATTTCAATTTTCTTATGTTCGTACAAGCCGGAATGGCACTATTCCACTATTACTACTGCAAAAACTCGTAGAAAAAGGTTCTCACTGAAATTTCGCTCACAGTTTCAGCAAAAACTGTTCAGTGTCCTGATCACGAATATGATATTCATTGTTGGTACTGGAGCCGTTTCGCGCAGGTAGGCGCCAATTTGGCCCCATCTCTATTTCTATCTCTATCCCCAAAAATCGATGATAACTTACATATGTACGGGGGCTAACGAACTGATCACGAATATGACACTCATTCTTGCTGCCGACGTCAAAGTTATTAAAGCCGATCTTTGCGTGAAGAGACTTGCTCCTCCTCCCAGGCTAAGCCTTAGCAGGGAGCTAAGTTGCGCTGTTATCGGAAAGCGAATATCATTTTTATGATCGGGTATCAATCAACCACGGTATGCAACTTTCAGTTCTGGTGAAATAGGTGCTCGCGGCCAAATTTATGCGCGCATTTTGGCGCATAGTGGCGTCAGCCATAAAAACGGATGTCATATTTTTGAACAAGATGTCAAATAATACTAGTCTACAGGTCTCCATCACTTTGATGAGATAAGTGGTGGCACCAAATTGGGCGCTTATTGGCACCAGAAGGCGCCAGCATTAGAAATGAGTGTCATATCCGTAACCAATACACCGAATAACACCTATAGGCAGAGTTTCAGCAAAAAATTTTGAGATTTCCGTGCAGTAATAGTGGGATATCGTCGGAGTCTTTTGTTACAATAAGAACGTGTCCAAAAATCACAAATCTGCTTACCAAAAAGCAGCAGGCTTCCTTATAGTCAGTTCGTGGTAAACTCGCGCAACTTTTTTTTCTCCCCTTTCTGGTGTTTCTAAAAGCGCGCAGCAAAAATGAACCTCGTTTTGTAGTTCCCGCATATATTTCAACAGCAAGCAGCAAATAATTTCGAGGTTGAGCTCCACGGCCTGGAAGACCTTTGTTAGAAATGGACGGGGTAGTCTGTAGCGAAGTTTCGCCTGGTGTTTTGTGTGGGCAGGGCATAGTAAGTCATCAGCGGACCGCTTACTCGATTTGCGGAAAAAATGTGACTCTATCGGTGTCAAAGAAAGGAAATACCTGCTCTAATGAGCAGCTCACTACCGAGTATTCCCAAGCGACAAATAGTAGAGGTTTGCAAACGAGTGCGGACGTTCCTTAGCAAAAGTTTGTAGAACCAGTTCTAGCGTTATGCTTCCACTGTGTGTTGGCAACATGGCTTCCAGTCGGAACAGCATTTTTCACTTGGTACATTACACGACTACATGGTGTGGATCAGGGCACGACACGCTCTCGAGAGAAAA